CGTAGCTAAAATTTTGAAAGTTATTTGCCGATGCTGAATTATCCGAGCATTGAAACCCTATTAAATGTGGTAGAAATGAAATCCTCATATCTTCAAGCATGATCCTTTGTAGGTTTCATTAGAATCTGTGGCCGCGTAAGCAAGAAATCTGTTGTGAAAGGTGAGCATGTCGGTTTCCCGCTACTGAACGGCCCATGTTACAAAAAATATTTGTCATTTTGGGCCTTTAAGTGCTTATAACTTTTTGAAAACTCAATGGATCTTAATGAAACTCTTCCACTTTGTAGTCCTAATTGAGATGCGTCCGTAGACACCAAGATCGTATGAATCCGTGCCGTCGTTTGGGCTGCAGTCGAGTTCCAACCGAATCAATTTTCAGAATAAGGGAGTTACGTGTGTCTATGGTTGGCTGCCACCTTTTTTCGTTTGGAGGCTTTCCAGTGTTGTCGAGTTTAGACTTTGTCCGGAGGTGGCTACCGCCACCCATGATAGTATTGAATTGGGGATATGTGGTTGTTTACGCGCACCGCGCCGAACAGGTTCAATCCTGTCACGTGACGTCGAGGCCTTATAGACGAAATTTCAGGTTTCAGGAGGTATTTTTCGACGGATTTTTGTGAAATCTGGTGTCAGGGTGTCTTCTTCTAAAATTTCAAAATCCAATATGGCGGTCGTGGCCTAAAATGCTAATTCGGCTCCTGTTCGATCGATTTTTGTGAAACTCGGTATCCGGGGGTACTTTTCGAAGGGAATCTCGAATTTTTGGTCAGACTTTCAAAATTCAAAAATCAAAGATGGCGGCTCTGGCCTGAAATGCTATCTCGGCTCCTCTTCAATCGCTTTTCGTGAAACTCGGCATGAACAGGTATTTTTCGACGGGAAACTTGATCTTTTGGTCCGATTTCAAAAATTTAAAATCCACGATGGCAGCCGTGGCCTCATATGATGTCTTGGCTTCACTTCGATCGATTTTCGTAAAATTCGGTATCAGGGGGTATTTTTCAACGGGCCAATTTTTGGTCAGATTTAAACATTTCAAAATCCAAAGAGGCGGCCGCGCTATATAATGCGGTCCCGGCTCCTGGAACATCAATTTCTGTAAAACTTGGTGAAAAAGAAGATGAGGACGAAGATGTTGTCTTCTCATCGATGTTAAAAAGAATGTGGGGCGGTGGCGGCTCGCGGAGCGAGTCGCAAGTTCATCGCGAAGCGAAGAACTGGGGTCCAGGGGCACTCCCCGGCTGGGCGTGTTAGCTCACAAAGAGAGCTAATCACGGCTAGTTGTCAATATAGTTTTACATACGGACTAAAATATAACGCTTGGACCAAGTCACTGTTGCTTATTTTACAAGTGGGCGTTAACTACTGGACAAAGAAGGTGCGCGGACAATAAATCGTTGACAAAATGTCCTAAAACCGGACAATGTACTTTCTGAAAATGCCAGAACTTAAAACAGTTCAACAAAATCATTAGCCAGAGGTCAAAAATAAGATTACTTGAGTTCAAATTGTTTGCAAACTTAAATATTAATAATACACTTTGAGAGGGCAAATTCCGATGATATACAAATGAATGAGGTATAAATCGTGAATTACTCGTAATTAAATCAAATCTTACGGTTTATTTTCATAATATATTATTGTTCTCATTTTTCTAGCACATATGGTCCAGTTCGGGAGGCTTTCAACATTAAAGACTTCAGAGAGTACTTCCATTTAGGACCACCATTGGCAGTTAATTTCTGCAACGTGTATAACAATGTCACAGATTTACCATACTGAGAAGGTAATAAATCCAGTAAGCTGGGATATAGGATAAGTAGTGCGCCTGCATTTTCGTCTGATACTGTGCAATACTTCTACGGCGGTATAGTTGCTCAGAGCGCCTTCAACAGCATAACTTTGACAGTTTGACTTGATGGCAGAAGATCACGATTACCGCTAGCTGAAATCACACTCTAGCGCGGGTGCAGTTTTAAATTTTCTCGTCACCAACGGTGATATGAAAAACATTCATACCTTGATTTGCGACTTTGCAAGTTTTTCAATGCCTATTTTATATGGATACAATATAAACGCTATTTATTGAATCCGCCGTAATTTTTCCAAGATTAGATGAAAATTATTATTTTAACTTGAAAATTAAGTACGGCGGGAAGTTATATTCATGTAAACCAAACTACCTAGTTTTGAAGTTCATCCGTTGATGTTCACCACTATTTAAACGAGTGTTATTTTGAGGAAACTCTGTTTCTGATCGATTTATTATAAACATTTAGATAGACACTTTATTTACTTGGTTGATTTTTTACTGATGATTTTTCTTTCTAGATTTAAAGTGTCAGATAAAAACCGCAGTTACAATCGTTGAACATGTTACGATTGTTACGCTCAAGAGTGGTCTGGGTCACCATCCGAGTTCTGTTTTGTTTATTTGTAACTATGGAAGCGGTTGAAAAGAAGTCGATAAAACGGGAAAATACTGAAACCTCAAATTCTACTAATCAAAATTCGACCACAATTACTCCTACCACTACTTTTAAAGGCATGAGCGTCAAAAAAACTACACCAGCAGTGTCTGATTATTCAAAAGAAATAGAGACTGTTTTGAAAAAAGAAAAACTGATCGGACCTAAACTAGTTACTAGAGCACCAAAACATCTTCTTAAAGTAAGTAAGTTTCTCAAAGGGATGGATGTATTTTTATCTGTCTATCTATTGTCTTTAAGTAGATGTCATAAGTCATGAATGAGCTAGGTATAGATTGGTTTTAGAGACAATCAACGGCCCCAAGTTATTATTGTCCTGGGTTTAATAGGATCAGCGAGGAGGTTATTTTACTATTTTCTAAGTTAGAAAACTACTTTCTACCATGGAGCAATTATCAAAACTTTCCACCTTACATATACAGTTGCTCTTACGGACATTTCTCTTATCCCCTATTATACTATCCATACTTTCAACATCTCTTTTTTGCAGCAGTAATATTATTAAGCTACGCTTTAAGTCGCCCTTTATCTGCAGAATGAATTAACAATTTAAGTGCGTATTTGTTAAGAAAAACTTCAAATTTGCCTCTTCTTCTTTTTAAAAACCTCATTTTTCTAATGAAGTTTTTTTTTATCATACTTATCAGGTGTCATACGGTGGAAAACCAGTGCATCTAGGAACTTCATTTGACTCAGATGAAGTAGTGAATGAACCAACACATATCAGTTGGCCTTATGAAGACAACACGTACTATACCTTCATGGTGATTGGTATTTGTTTTAATTCCTTTTAAAGTATTACTTTTTAATATTAATTGACCAATTCATTGTACACAAATTGTATGAGCAAATAAGATCGCACATCGCTCATCATGGTGGGCACAAGCAAACTAGAGTCGTCCCAGGTTGATTTTTGGAGATTACTCCCTATGCGTTTCTAACAGCGCATGTTCGCTAGGGTGTACAAAAAAACCCCTTTTTTCGACAACTTTTGCTCCTTTCAAAATTCCTGGTGCTGCTGGACCTCAGTAACATGAATATGGGTCAAATTTTGGTCTCGCGCATTTCTACGTGGATCCCAAGCCCCCCTTTTTTCGAAAAATGGGCCGATTTTGAGAATTTTTTTTTCAAGCTTTCTAGTTTATAAGCTTACACTTGCGAGCGGTGAGCGAATTGGAGTATCACCGATGCGACTTGAGTTCAATTCTGGCGGCCGCCGCGTAGGTTTTGGACGAGGTCGCAGATTTTCAACATAAATATTCGGTCCTTTCAATCTAAAAATTTGGTCGACTTGACGGTGGGAAAACTAACACAAAAAAAATTAACCAACAGCTTGTGTTACTTCGTGTTTCACTTCCCATATTAACACCAATAGATTACTTTTTCTTACTGTGTAATTTTTTAAGGCATATCTGAAAAAGGCACCAATAAATGAGGGAAAAAGGGAATGAAATGTTGACAAAATCTTGATGAAAACACACAATAAGATGCATCCATTTTGAAATCAAGCCTCTTAAGCGCTCAGCCGATAGGCAGCGCTTTTTGATTTCGACTTGCCTCTGAGTACTAGTATACTAGTGCTAATGCGTTTAAATGGCGCACCAGCTCATCGATGTGTAGGCTTTTTGGGGGGGTCCATTTTTAAAATAAATAAAGCTGTGAAAACTGTATTTTATGCTTTTAACGTAATGCGCAGGTAGTTTCGATCGTTTGTCTATAAGAAAATTTCTTAGCGGTAGAGTAATTCTTATCGAAATTGATCGTTGAACTCAAATGAAGCCTAAAAAAAACGCGCCTGAAAAAATGAGCTTAACGGTGAGCTCATTTTCGGGAAACGAAAAAACGCGTTTACGGTTTCCTTGGTAACCTTTGTTTGCTATCAGCTGATGTTTTATTTCCATTTCCCAGCCAAGTCGACGGAGTTTATACTTCCTTTCTTCACTAAATACATTGACTAACACCTGAGCGCTTTTCTAATACGACAGTATTAGAACTTCCCCGCTTGTTTTTTCTTAATATGTAGTCCAAAACTTATTTTCATCATCACCTACATCAGTGACCATGATTTTGCAGGATGTCTTAAATCGATGATCGAGTTTCACAGATTTTTTTTTTACGTTTTCCGTTATTTGAATAGGACCTGATGTACCATCAAGAGAGAATCCAGATCCTGAGTTCCTGTCTTCGTGGGAACATTGGATGATCGGAAATATTCCTGCGAATAACTTATCGGCAGGTGATGTGCTATCCGAGTACGTCGGTATCACTGGCCCCGAGTATGAAATAGGTGAGTGTACTTTGCCATCTTAAATGTTAAGTACATCAGAGGGAATATCCAACTGGGTTTTTACAGATCACATCCATTCCCAAAATTAGACAAGTTATTTAAAATCATCACTTCTCTGACGCCAGGGTGTATCTAGATTTCTGTATGGGCCGCAGAAAGCATAGAGTTACACGCAAAACAGGGCTCACGTGGAAGTCGGTACACGCCGTTACTTCAGAGGAGCGACGAAATGATTGTAAAAACTTAAGTAATTTTGGTGGAGGATGGTTCACGTGAGGAATTGTGAAAAAAGGAAGAAAAAATAGAACCTATGACTTTTGAAAGATGATATTTAGATAAAGACTAGAAACTTAAGGCGTTGAAACGGAATTAAATAGTTTAATAACGAAAAATGACGTTCTCCGAAATCTATCGTCGTTGATGCAAAAAGAAATATTTAATTTTAAGTTGAAAATTTCGTTTCAACTGTTTCGGGTTCCAAATTTTGAGCCTGACCGCTAATTACTAGCCGCATGTCGGCTCTCACCAGTTATACAGATGGCATTAGGTATGATTTAAATCTAATCCAAACATTTTAATCTAACCTCATGTTTGCGACTGAATGCACACAATTCATCTGAGCCTACGCTCTGTAACAAATTGTTCTCGCCCTTAAACAAAGTGAATTCCGATTTAGCCGGCAAATTTTCCAAAGTAATATAAGGCCGAAAATTCATCTAGGTATTAGGCTACAAAGAAATTTGATACATTTAATCGGTGATTTCGTTTGTTTTTCAGGGACTCATCGATTGGTGTTTTTAGTTTTCAAACAGAATCCAGTGAGACAATGGACCCTGGAGGGCATGACCGTTAATCAAACCATAATGTTCGAGGAGGGCTTACTGAAGAAAAAGTAAGCACACTTCCAAACACTGCTTCCTAGACTTAACAGACTATTATTATGTTATTAATGAGCTTGTTATCATCGATTTTCAGTCCGTGTGTAGGAAAATGAGGAGGGACGGAAATGATATTGATAGAGGTATAATCAAAACTTCAAAAGAAAATTGAGTGACAAAATTTGTCCTCTGGACATGGTTGCCATAGCATTGTTCGTCGTAGGTGTGTTCACCGTTTCGCCGGGGAATAAGAGCCAGAACACAGAAAAGAGGTCTTAGGGGTTATCCCCTAAAATTTTGGCACCAGCTTAATTTGTTGGGTGATATGGACATTTCCAATTTAACCGAATTTTGCAACCAGAGACTACAATGGGCCTGTTGCATGCAAGAGATACAGCCGTGCGAATAGACTTTTTAGAGGTTAAATGACACAAAAATTACGATGGTCACATTAAAAAAGTCTGAAATACACTCCTTACTGCGCAATTTGTGTTGTTAGGAACGCGCTTTTTCAAATTTCCCGCGTCTGGGGGCAGTTTTCTAACGGAAACAATTAACGGCAACTCCCGGCTATTTCCGGTCAACTAAAGCTGACAACATAACCTAAAAATCGGAGCTCGCGACATCGTGAAATGAAATGTAGAAGGATTGCGTTGGATATTTAAAAGTTGATCGATTTGGTTACCGCATAAAGCGTATATGGACCACTGTAAGAGATCACGTTGGGTTTGTAAACAAACTGAAGGAAAAAATAACAACAACAACAACAACGACTCGGCATCTTCCTGAAATCACCGAGCCCGCCGTTTGCTCGTTTCCGGTGATTAGAAAACTGCCCCCAGACGCGGGAAATTTGAAAAAGCGCGTTCCTAACAACGCAAATTGCGCAGTAAGGAGTGTATTTCAGACTTTTTTAATGTGACCATCGTAATTTCCGTGTCATTTAACCTCTAAAAAGTCTATTCGCGCGGCTGTATCTCTTGCATGCAACAGGCCCATTTCTGTTTCAGCTTAGAAACACCGTTTCCCTATGCACATACGTGTCTTTATGGTTAAGCGAGGAATTGTGGTTCCAAATTGCAAAATGGTAGAACCACAACATTTGGGTTATAACCTAGTGTATTGAATTTTACCAAAATGGGCTGCTCTTCTAGACAAAGTATAAATTAAAATGAAAAAAAAAAAAATAAATAAATAACTTTTGGAATTTCTTGGCTTTGTTTTCCCCGCGCGAAATGGTGTGGACCCAGCACCATTTCATCTTCTTGTTGTATAAATTAAAGCACAACATCACGTGTTTTCTCTTCAAAATTCTACTGATAATACGAATCACACAACGGGTCTGCGAAGATCAACTCCTGAACCAGATATAATTTTTTTCTATTAACATTGGTTAGTTGGCAAAAATACGAATGACGTCATTTGTATAATCAAAATTCAATTTGATCTGTATTTAAAAGACTTTTTAATATCTCGTTCGAGAGTTGATTTCAAAATTTCTCGTTGTGAGAATTGTTTTCCATGTACGATTTTGAAGAGAGAACATGTGACGTTTTCTTCTTCCTCAGACCTTGTTATGTGTCCCATTAATTGGAGTACTACCACAATTGATTAGAAATGCCCAAGTCATCCAACAACCCCTACACTACCACAATTGATTAGAAATGCCGAAGTCATCCAACAACCCCTACATCTCTTCTTCCATGAAAACTGTCGGAACGTATGTACATTTAAAAGATGTAATATATTCGTAATTTCAGTAACAAGGTGGAGAAATGGTGCTAGGTCCACACCATTTCGCGACGAAAACGAAGCCAAGAAGTTCCAAAAATTATAATTAGAGTCAAAATCAAATTTTTTGAACTCTGGTGTTTCGTAAGTTTCAGTTTCGCACTGGTACGCATTAGAGTTCAAAGAATTTAATTTTGACTCTAACTATAATTTTTGGAACTTCTTGCCTTCGTTTTGCCCGCGAAATGGTGTGGACCCAGCACCATTTCTCTACCTTGTTACGTACAGTTCGGGTCACTTCTTATTGTTTTTTTTTTGTTTTTTTTTTTTTTTTTTCTTCTTCGTGTTTTTCTTCATTCGTAATTTCACATAGAAAAAAAAAAAAGAAAAAAAAAAAAGAAAAAGAAAAGTGATTTGCAAGGTAACGGACTTATCTCTTCTTATTAAATAACCATATCTTACTTATGGCAGGGTAATCGGTTTGATGAGATCGTCGTTTTACCCGAGGAGGATACCAAAGAAGTACAACATGGTGCTGGACCCAATTGCTGTCAACTTCTGCGTCGTGCACCAAAAGAAACCCGTATACGTCGAGCCAACTGAGCCTCCGGACGAGACCGAGACGCCGGAGGACTCCGAAGAACAAGAGGAACTGAGGAGGGCCAAGGCTGAAAATCGGACGGTTGTATTCAGTACAACAACCGAGGAAGTGGGATCCTTAATCTTGGACAGATCCAGAACTTGGTCTTAATGCCTTAGGAAATTATTAGGGAATACTGATGTATGCTTGTAAATCTGCAAATACATGTTTTGATTTTCTCGTTCTATGCAAAAGGCTAAGTTTTTTCTCCCGAAAATAGATCGCGTTAAGCAGAAAGGAACCAAGCCACAACGACTATTGCCAAATTCAATTGAGCCATATTTAACTTTTTTACATGAAAACGGTTGTGCGGATTTTTGTGCAAATTTTAGTAAATTTTCTGCTCAATACGAAGTAAACTCTGAAAAAATTTCAAAGAGATCCACACAGACGTTCTCTTGTAAAAAATCAGTGGCGGGGCGTGAATGATCGATTATCGATATTTCTCCATTTGAAGCTATGGTAAAGAATCGACAGCGACACCCTGGACACCCTGATAATCAATCCTTTCCCACAGGTTTAAATGGTAGATCAATCGATATATAGCAAAGCACGCTACGCCACTGTAAAAAATTACATAGCCCAGTTTTTGGCAATAGCTGATGTGGCTTGGTTCCCCTCTGCTAAACGCGGTCCAAATGAACTCCTCGGCTTACGAGCAAATCTCAAAAATGATGTTATGACAGAAAAGCATTCCTACCGCATAAGAGAATCTATCTCTTTTTTCAACCGAACATTGATGTTTTTTGAATGTGTGATAGGGTTCCACTGCTTCCCCAAAGAAATTTAGGAGTGAATAAAGTAATTTTTATTTCCTGCGTATATCGTCAACCATGGTTACATTGCACACGAACACACAACTAGCGTCAAAGTCATCAAGTTGATATTTGAAAAAATTCGCTGCGAGGTACGATATGTAGACAACACAAGAGCAAGAGACAAATTCTTGAACAGAAGACTCGAGACGCCTGCTTTGCGAAGAATGCTCCCTGGCCTACCTCGGAAATTGAAGGCGTGATAGCAACGTGCGTAACCGTAACCTCCATTTTACATTCGAAGTACTTCTGCGCCCTGTAAATGTTCGATCAGTATACGCCGCTGCTCTTCAGCATATGTTTGATCATTTTGATGCCAGTCCGCAGCCAATTGTTTAGAATAGCAACATAGAGATAAAAAGTAGACTTTATCTATTATTAAATCTTGATACTGCATGAGTGACCATTTATGTACCAGTGATAAGTAGCACATTTCGTATGATCCGAAGCCACGATGTTGGCATTGAAAAAAAAGAAAAATGCGCCATAGTAGTAGCACTCTCTAAGACACAGTAAGAGCATGGGTTCCCTAAGAGTCAGTATAAATAGAGTGAGAAATATTCGACGAGTTCGGTATAAATTATTGTGTTACCGATAATCGTGAAATTTCTACCAAAATAAGCTTCGAATCATCTACGTCTCTCTTATTCCTGTAAGATTCTAAATGTTTGTAAAAGCTGTTGTAATGGGCGTGTCTAAAGAGATACATTTGTACTCAAGTTGACCTTATGACGAAGTGAAAAAAATATTCTTACACACCAAAATAAATTGTCAGAGAAGCCAGTCAAAAATTGAATATATTGTAGTCATTTGACAAGTTAATTGGCCAATTGATGACCAAAGTACGAAACACGTATATCCGCTGCGGTGTTTCAAAATTTCCAATCCTATTATATTTTTTCGAAAAAGAACAATACAACCTTACAGCTTGAGGTTAATACAGAACACTCTGCTAAGAGAGAGGCAAAATCGTGGAAATTTTGAAGAAATACGTTGATTAATTTCCAAGAAAAAGTGAAAAATAATAACAGAAGGTCTGGAACGTCGCCAATGGAGATACGTGGTTTCGCACTTAGGTCATCTACATGTTCATTACAGTGTCACCCCCATTGTACTCAACACAGTGTCGAACGTTTCCCTCGAATTTGACGAAAAAATGCAATGCTTCCATAATACGCCTGCAATACAGTGATTCCTTTTGTCACATCCAATGTGACAGTTTCCAAACGGCAGAGTTGTCATTAAGTTGATCACAAATGGTTTAATAACCGCAAAATACCCTTTTTTTTATACGTTTGTCCGGCCACACGCACTAATAAAAGGATATCAAAGATGAATTCAACTTTTTGAAAGCACTCTATTATTAAAATTTTTTCGTGTGCCCAAATTTATTTCAGGATACACTCCTTCAGAAAGAAATAAAAAAATTCTGAGGCTCATCATTTGTTTTTGTTTTTTTTGCTTGAGATTTACGTTCCTTTGCGTCAAGAACTTTTATACAATCCCTCAAATTTAGACGAGTTTTTATGGAAGTCACAAACATTTCTATCAGCTCTTTCTAGATTTTACCCCTCTGTTACATCCGTTATATAATTTTTTCAGCTTCAAACAATGATGCGAACCTGTCAAATATTGATGGCTAAAGTTGCTAGTATTACTGCTTCTTTATGGATAGTCCTTGCTCTGACCCGGGAAGGAATCCTATGTATGCATGCAAGAACTCCTGAGGCAATTGATGCTGCGATGCTCAGAGATTACTTCATTCCGGATATACTCGATTTCAACTCTCCCAACGATTCGATATGGGTATGTTTCTCACGTAGTCATTACTTATACCTGAAGAATAAATCAGATATTGCAAACATTTTACAGGAATATGGAGTTGGTTTCAATAAGTGTTACCTTTCGAAGACACTTTTTTATAATTTTAGGAAGAACAAAAGAGAGAAGCTTATGTCATGGAGTATTTTTTTTAAAAAAAAAAAAAAAAAAAAAAAAAAAAAAAAAAAAAACTTATTCATGAGAGGAAGTTTGAAAGCACGATATACATTTGTATAAATGATTAAATATCGATAGTCTGCAACAATATTGCCTACTGATGTGCTGATGAGGCTCCGCAGAACGCATTGAGAAGTAGAATTTATCGCTAAAACTTCTATTCATGGAAACTTTTACTGTTGCGAACTGAATCATTTCTTACATGCAATTTGAATCTCAATTTACTTTCTGCTGACTGAATTGACCAAAATGTTGGATAATGGCCCCAGCTCCACCATGTTTCTCGAGTGAATTCATGAATATGCGTTTCTGTATCAGTGGCGTGGCGTTTCTTCGATATATTATAGTTTGATCTGCCATTTAAACCCAAGAAAAATTATCGATAATCAGGGTCTTCGCAACGAACACCTAAATGCTCGATTCTTTACCATGGCTTCAGATGGAGAAATATCGATAATCGATCATTTACTCATCGCCACTGTTCTAAAAATGCACCAGAGGATAATTTTAAGAATTAACAAGAGAAGGAACCTTAAAGTCAATTTTTTCATGCTTCGAGAAGAAGCTATGGTGGTTTTGATCTCTGTTCGTCTACTGTTGAGATCCATATAAATGTCCCAGGCAAATAGTGAAATCAGACATTTTATGAAATGCCTAGGCCAGTAGACAAATTTTGACAGTTTACGGCATTCTGAATAATTATGGCGAGGAGTTCAAAGGTTTTCAATATTTTGGGAAGAATAACTCTTCAAACCTACGAACTTTTTTTGGCTCTTCCTCTTCAATTACCTCTCATGTTCTTAAATATTGAAATTCTAAAAATTCTGTATCATGACATGCTGAAAATTTTAAGATAAGTGTCTGTTTAGGAGCTAAACATTGATTAAAACACTATTGTGTGATGCAAACTTTACTGAGAATTTTTTCTCTCACAGGAACAACGAATTATTTTGTCTAAAATTAGGAATAAAATCAGAATTTCAATCTAAGTTAGCATATTTGACTATTTGCCCAGGCATTTGGCAAAATGCCTGATTTTACTATTTGCCTGCGACATAAATATCGTTATGTGGGACACAGAAATGAAATCGTTAAAAGGACCAAGTGCTGCATGTGTTCATTACGTTGAAGTACTTAAAGTCCTGGGTCTATACGATTCGTCAAAAGAAAATAAAAATTCCTAAGGCTATTACATGGTTTTTAAATGATTTTCCCACACAGATAAGGTACGGAAAGAGAGAAGTAAACTTTGGCCTTGGTTTGTTTTCCCCTGATGAGGTTAAAGACATGCCTACCTATTTCAACTACCCTTGCTCAAAAGACGTCTACTACACGATGACCTTTACAGGTGAAGCTGCAATGTCTTTTTAAAGCTCTCTTACAAACTTCTCTCCATTCAGCGAGGAAAGAAAACACGTAAAATATTCCTCTCAATTGCATTTCTCATTGTTTTCAAATAATTGTCAATCAAGAAGTTGACTATTTAGAGAACTTGACTGGAGCTAGAAACAACCGGACGTTGAAAATTTGAGAGGTATATTAGATATGGTATTCAATTGTAAGAATGTGGCAACAAAAAGCACCATAATTTCATTAATCAGACATTAAGCAGTTCGTAATGACTGATATTTTATTGCTGAAGGCGCATTGCAGGCATTGTTGACGCTTCGTAAGGGACTTGAGTTCATCGAATCAATTTGCGCAAAATATCCGACGAAAAATATCAATTTTTTATTCAAAATATCTGTGCGAAATGAACTAGTCTCTGAAATCGGCCTGTGATTTTCTTTAATTTTATTTTTTTGGATGACACTTTGATCTGGATGTAGCATGAGCTTCATTTTCACTTGATGAAGAAAAAAAATATGAGATGCTTTTCTTCGGTTTTTAGGATTGGATATGCCGACCAGAAAACACCACGATGAAAGAGAATACAGACACTGGCACATCGTCAACATCCCTGAAAATCAGATTAATCAAGGCGATACACTTGCAGAATACATTGGACCTATGTATACCAACGAAGACGGTGAGTTTTAAGTCTTTGATATTGACGCAGCAGGTAAACTGCCTGAGAAAGGTTCGTGAGATTTAAGTGTGTGATGTCAAATAGACGATAGCGGTCCGAGACTAAGGGTCGTAAGTTCGTAACTGTTTCAATGGCTGCAACCACGAATTATGAAATACGGGGTTATACTGGGTGATCCAAAAGTCCCACACCACCAGCACCAGGCATCGCCTCCGTATGTTTTTTGAACAAATTGAGATAGAGACTTGGAAACGTAGGGCTTACTAAAAATATATCGAATCAGCATTCTTTTAGTCCTAACTACTAAATGCGGTGATAAATTTTCTGCTCAAGCAACCTCAAAATTATTGACCATGTCGTAAAATCATATTAAATTCTATATTAAAAAATCTGCTAAAACAAAGAGCAACAGGGTCTGCCATCATGATCTACATACCAATGACATCTGTGGGCAGGATTCAGTAAATTTAGATTCTAGAGCTAAACCTTGTAAAAAGCGGTCTCGGCTCAGAATCTTATATTTGACATGTATAGGTAATGGCGTTTTTAGAGAAAAAAATCCTTCATGTAATTATATCCACTTGTACTCTACATTTTGCTACACGGAACAAACGAAAATGCAACCTTAGGAATATTATAACTATCTTGTGTGACATGTATGTAGCAGTTGTAGCACGCCCAAAAAATGATATTGTGAAACTTCTTTTTTAAGATAAAGTAGCTATAGGTGGAACAATAAATAAATTACAGGCTTTCTCAATGTTAAATTCAGTCCCTATTCCTTTCAACAAATGGCATGCGCCGAAGCATATTTATTCAATAAACAATTTACAAAAGAAAACTTTATGCGTTGGCCTCCTTTAAAAGCAAACTGAAAACACGCATAAGTGCTTTTTGTGAAACGAAAAATTGTCGTTTTTACGTTTTTTTTGTATTAAACATTTGTTTGTCTTTTTACGAGATGGCTTTAGATAACTTCCAGCTTAATTTTTTTTCAGGGCTTCACAGGTTCATATTTTTTATATTTGCACAACCTAACAAGACAAAAATGAACTTCGACGAGAAAAAATTGACGAAAACGTAAGTATTTTATAAAGTCCTATCAGAGATATTTTTAGTCAAAAGAGAAAAAATATTGACTTGTTTGCAGTTTTAAATAAATATTCCGATGGCTAAATTCTATAGGCATTCGTATTTCGAAGTATGCCGTTGATAATTTATTTTCGTTCCTAATTGTCAAAGCAAAAATAACTCCTCAAAAATTAGCTCTCGTTTTCTTTTTGCTTTACCCTCTCATGATTGTTTCCGTAAAAACGTCAAACCATACAATATTCGTCATTTGTCCATTAATAACATGAAAACGATCAGAGACTTTGATAAACTGTAATTGATTTACGGATTTTCAGTGCCATGGGCATAGATTTTCCTTTTGGAGCGTAAAGTTCATGATTTGAATCGCGATCCCTTCATATGAAAGAGAGTACTTATGAATACACTTATTTACTTGAAACAAGCTCCGTGGGTGGGGCTGCATGCTTTTGTATCCATGCAGGTCGTCATTATATTAGCCTTCGTGTACAAGGCCGTTTTTGTACAATTATTTAAATAAATAGAATAAGTAGCAAAAATTGTATTGTCAATTCAGTCAGATCCACACATTTTTCAGTTGAAACTAAGGGGTAAATGAAAATTATGGACTCATATTTCTCAGGTCAGTAATTTAATTATTCTTAAAATTTGTGCCAAAGTTCAAATAAGCACCGGATCATCTTCTTTAAAGACTTTCTCGCCTAATTCAACATTAACTGGCTTTAAACTAAATAACGTTTGATCACTGAACATTATGTTGCAGAGTTCACGGGAAAGAGCGGGTTAATTTTCATACAATGGAGTTCGCTGAGAAGTACGGACTGAAAGAGCCACTTTGCGTCAATTATTTTTTAATGGACAGGATGGCACCAACAGAGCCTCCAACTCCACCCATGATTTGATATTTATTGCTTCTGATATAATTTAATTTAAATATTCGAGAAGTTATCGGGGCAGAGAACTTATAGTAATCTCTTTCTGGTCGGAAGGGATAGTTTCAATAAATTTTGATTCTGAATATGTGAGAATTTTTCAAAAAAATGATAGGCATTTTCCATGAGCAGTGGCGTGGCCAAAAATTTTCATACGAGGGATCTATGGTCAAAAATGTCTGATGGAGCGGGGGATGGTAAAAAAAAGGAGAAGCTTCTGGCTCTCACGAAAAGTTGGATTTTTTGACAAGATTCCATCTCTCTTGAATCCCTTTCTATTGGGTGCGCCATAGATGTATGAATGTGTAAGAGTGAGTTAAGCTTCTCTTTACAGAATTAATATGCTTAGAGTACCGAAAAACTGGTCCAGCTTTCCTCTTGGATGATTGTGGTGCCAATACGACGATAAGATTCACATTAATGTTCCGTTTGGTTTTTTTAATGAAGCTTGAAGATATAATACTCTAAAAACTGATGACAAACATAATTGAATCAACATTTAAGGCCAAATACCGCCTTTGCAAAAGTAACGCGTTAATGCGAGTGAAAATTAAGTGAGAAAAGTAAGATTTCTGTGGATTCATACGTGAAATGGTGTGGCTACAATAAACTAAGACTCTTGTTCTCAAACATGCTTGACAACAAAAATCTGTTAAAAATGAATGAATGTATATAATTTTAAACACACTAACGAACGCTTTATTTGAATTTGCAAAAGATTCGAAAGGGGGAAGGGGCCCCCATGCAAGAAATTTGAAGAGTGTACTTTTTGCTGTACGCAGTCCAAAAAGACTGCGAAACTTGTTCTCTAATCTACCAAATATTTTGTTCTGGACGGTTTTTTCATGCTAGTTCGGTGCTTCATTGAATTTTAATAATGAGCGTTTATTCAAAGCATCATTAATTTCGGTCAGACTTTTACGTAATATGAGAGTGAGAAACTTCTAATCAAAAGAATCAATAATAAAATCAATTACAAAGAAGACATTACAAAGAAAACAGTCATGCATTTAGTTTTCGAAGTTTCAATCAAACATAATCCCAAGCGTTTTGTCTCAAACCGAAGTCATTCGAATATAAATTCTTTCGATACCTAGTTGTTGGGCGCTTCTGGGTACCAGATGCGCCCTTTCCAACCGTTCGACTCCCCCGATGTAACATGTACTATACTACATGCCCTTTTGCCTTATGGGTAATGACGCCATTCTGGTACACCCGGGAAAATTTCATTTTTTTCTGCATCTGGTATTCGTAAAAGTTTTCGTGAAATGTTTTGCTTTTAAGCATAACAATCTCGCACGGGCGTATTACCTGGTTAAACTATTTTGGGGCTTCGTTATGCTTAAATGCCTCATATTCGAGGTTGTAGTTTCAGATTGATTCGAAAAAATCACGAACAGTCACGTGATCTCTTCATTTTAGTGACGTATTACTGTGCTATTTTGTGATTGGTTCATTTTCTCGGCGCAGCATCGTCAAGCGTCAGCTGTTTGCGGCTCTGGGTTGAAGGTTTAAGGTTATGTCAGAGAGAATAGAAAGTTAGAGGCCCGACTCGAATGCTAGGTAATTGAAACAGATGCGCTCGCAGCGCGCTCGCTGGCAACGTACGCAACTACTATTTTCTATTGTTTTCCAGAGACTAGCGGCGGGTATGTTGCTGCCGGACCACCTTCACGTAGGCAATTTGTTATACATCGTCCGTCCGCAATACTCTCGCTTGGCCGTATGAAACCGTTCCTCGCATGCGCAGTGTTAAAGAAGCGCCCTCCAACGCGTTGGCGTTGGAACTGCTTGTTTTCGTTTACTTTGTTTTTGCTTCGTGAAAATCTTACTCATGAAGACCTATGTAAAGTTAGAGTTAAATTTTGTATAGGTATGTGACATTTAGCTATTTTGAATCTTGAGTTTGGAAAAATGAGTTTCTTCACAGGGCCGGATTTACTTACTTGCCGCCCATGGGCCGCCTGTATTTTGCCGCCCCCTTCTCATTCGTTTTGAAACATCAACAAGTTGCATTTTGCAATCGCTAGCGATGGCAATATTCGTCATGGGAACGTCAGCTTCTGGGATATGAAAATGTTAAGGTACAGTTCGTTTGTAGTATCTTCTGAATTGAAGGGGCTATGTAATTTTGTGTTGACATCTCTTTTTTAACATTTTTAATTATTTTCTTTGCATACAAGAAAGCTGTTATGTACCAATTATTTATTTTCGTTGGATTATATATGGTTTTAGGAAGTTAACGCATTTAAGTTTCAGGTTCGCTTTTTCGGCGTAAAGTGTACATGAGGTATCCCAAAAAACTTGTTCCGCAACTTCGAACGTAAGATAGATACAGACATGATCTTGATCTCATTTTAAAGATCAACTCAATACCCATCGATTAAAACCAAGATCAGCTCAATCGGATAAAAATTGACCGAGTTATGGCAATTTGAAATCAGCGAGGAAAGTTTACGCCTACGGTTTTTAAGGAAGATTCTTCATCGCCGTAAATCGAAAAGTCGGCCGATAAAGTGATGTTTATTGTGTTTTTTTATTTTCGAGGTGTCATTTATCAACATTTTGTACCATCAAACACAACAATTGACAGTGCGTATTATTGCAAAGTACTAAAGGAGTTGAGAATGCACATTTCCCGGAAACGGTCGGACTTGAAAGCTTCGTGGATACTCCATCAAGACAATGCGCGGCCTCACACATCGAGCTTAACACGTGAATTTATGAGTAAAAATGGAGTTGAAACAATCCCTCATCCCCCTTATAGCCCTGACTTGGCTCCATGTGATTTTTGGATGTTTCCTACGCTTAAAAAGGAGCTTCGCGGACGAAGATTCGTATCGAAGACCGAAATCCAGAATGCAATTCAAAACTTTTTCAACTCCATCCCAGAGGAAGAATTCAGGAAAACAATGTTGGATAAGTGGCAAGAGCGCATGAAAAAGTGCATCCGGTTTGATGGACGGTACTTTGAAAAGCAAAAGGAAGTTATGGAAGATTCGGAGGAAAGTGGATACGAATATTTACTTTTTGAATCCTGGTAAGCGAAAAATCTTCTTAAAAACCGTAGGGGTAAACTTTCCTCACTAATTTCAAATTGTCATAACTCGGTCAATTTTCATTTGATTGAGCTGATCTTGGTTTTAATCGATAGGTATTGAGTTTATCTTTAAAATGAGACCAAAATCATGTCTGCATCTATCTTACTTTTGAAGTTACAGAACCAGTCCCGGTACTTTTGGGACACCCTACGTATGATATTTTTACTCTACACATATGCCCGAATACGCATCGTAAGGGACCTATGTGCTTCCTAAGTTGCCAAGTATTAATTATTGTTAGATGATTGGTCTAAAACATTCAATACAACCAGTAAAAGTTAGCTGTCCCCTGCGAGATTCGAACCCCCGCTCGCACAAATGTGACGCGATCCCAGAATCTGATCAGTGGCGTAGCTAACTGAGCTATCTCACCGCTCGGATGATGATGCAGAAAAAGAGAACAGTTAAGTGATCTCGGACGCTGAGCGGAGCTTCACAAAAGACGTCCTTGAGATTTCAACAGTTCGGCCACTGGCGTCCTAAGAGACAACGGATTAACCGTATTACTCTGTGAGACATTGTTTACCTATGCTGTCATATGTCACAAGGTTCATCACACCATGCATTTGCGATCGCGGCAGTAAGCTGAGGCAATATTTCTGTATTCATGGATTAAATCCATCAATCGAGTTCTGATTTTGGCTCATATATCCGTAACGGGTCCTCCAGAGCAATTTTCCACCTTGTACGATGGTTATTATTTCTTTATATCTATGTTTAAAATTTGAGGTGGGATAATGGCGGCTTCTCAAGAGCAACGAGGTAGGCGATCTTTTGCACCAACGAACAGAAAACTGATGGCGAAAAATAACCAATCAGAACCTCCAAAAAAAAAGAATTTGCCTAAAAACGGAACTTCGTGGATCTGCGCAGATTTACCAGTCAGACACGACATTTCAAGGTGGAAAAAAACTCGCTGAAAGCGAATTTTAGCAATCAACACAACTTGACGTAGAGACATGATTGGCTAAAAAATACAACGGTTTTTGATACATCGGAAAATCAACCAAAAATCGGAGACTGGGCGAAACGCTCAAGGTCGCAGAGGTATAGGGAATCCCATAGCGAAAGCAACGGAACGATTGTAATATCATGGGGAACTCCGTTCCCATGACAATAAAACCATCAAGTAAACGTGCCGGAGGGGGAGGGATGCATAAGACGCGTTTACTCGTGTTGGACACATTTTTTGCGAAAGCCATGTCAACACTACGAGCGAAAGTTCACGAAACTTGGCGCGAAAGTTAAGTTCCTTAAAACTATCTCTGTGTGGACAAGGCCTTCCATTCATATGAAAAAATGTGGTTTAATAATTTTAACTTCCACCGCCGCGCTGCGCTGACCGCACTGTGATTCACGCAATGCGTGAAGTATTCATGCAGTCTTGTAGGCGCTACGCGTTTCACGCCGCCCGCTGCTGACCGCACTGTCTTTGACGCAATGCTTGAAGTATTCACGCAGTCTTGTAGGCGCTAATATGTGTTACATGCCGACCGCCGCGCCGCGCCGAGGGTTTGTCCTTTTCATCTCAATTTCTCGTCATCATTGCTCTCTGCGCCGCGCCGTTCCAGGCCAAATTCCGTGTTCGTTTTCTCTCTTAGTCTTAACTCGACTTATTAAAGGTGCTGTCCATTGTATCACAAAGTGACGACAAAATTAGAGATATACTCTCAGGAAATGTGAGATTTTGTCACCTTTTCCCGTTTGTATTTTTTTCTGAATCCGGTTTTTCTTTATACCTACATTTAAAAAAATTGCAAAATTTGCCGCCCCCTAAATTTGCCGGTATGGGCCGCGCCCATGTGGCCATCCCCTAAATCCGGCCCTGTTTCTTCATTTGTATTTGCGGTCCATGCATGCTAAAATATTTCTATAACGGTTGAAAATAAAAATTGTATTACGTGCGTCTGAAGTGTGGTCAAGAGCAGCTTCAATTTTCTTTTTATTTATTTATTTTTTTAACACTTCAGAAGATCATGTTATCATATTACTTTTTACAATATTAAATTTTTTTTCTATTACTTGCTGAGGGAAGGTTTTAGTTTAGTGATTATAACTGGACTCAAAATGTAAAGTCCAAATTGAATTAAAATTGTAGTGTTTACAATTACTCGTACCTAACAACCTCATTAGAAAATAAACATGAGTTACACCAGATAAGAGCCAAATATTTCGAATGAATAATTTACTAGAATTGACCACATACAAGTCAGTTGGCACAAATTTAGTACACATAAAAAAGAGTTAGATGCGAAAATTAGCCCTTTTCAAAAAAATGCACTATTTTTTTTACCACACGATACAATATGTATTCATCATTGTAATAATGGTTCATACAAATTGCTCCTTTTTAATTCTTTTGAGAAACTGCGTATTTATAGTTTTTATTTTGTATCTGGAACATGCCAGGAGGATCTTCAATTTATTTGAAAATATTGTGCGACCTAGAAATGCAAATTCTGTAAGAATACATGTTGATGTTATGTTTTAGGTAACTGAGGAATATTCAAAGTCATTTAATATGTCAACTAAGTATTTATCGACGGTGTTTCTGGCAGGAGCAAGTATTCTTATCGTGTCCATTTTAAACGTTGAGGCCAAAAAAAGACCAAAATGGTGGATGACCACTTCCAAGCCAGTCCCCACTGCCAGGCCAAGAACACAACCAGAGATAGAGGCACTGCTAAAAAAAGACGGTATTATACCCGATGTCATCAAATATGCACCTAATGACACAGTGCAAGTAAATACGCACTAATTGTTAACTATATACTTGTTCCATTTATACTCAGTAAGAAGGAAACTTAGAATTTTAAGGAGATGAATTAAAACGTTTCTTATCGCTTTTATACTTAGTATATAAGTGAACTTATGAAGAAAGTATCAAAATTTCAGACGCATATACTCGTATATGTATACGCGTTTTTTCTTGAGTCTTACGGATACCAAACCAGCCGATGAATCTGCATGTTTATTGCACACACGAAATTGAACCGATTGAGTTAGCCTCCTGTGTATAACGTAGCAAGAAAATTACGTTGAGCACATCAACAAGGTAAAAAATTCAGTCGTCAATGCACAATTTTTGTACAGTATTCTCTCGCTATAACGACACTCATTATAACGAAAATCTCTCTTTTGCGGAGGAATCGCCCGGTCCCTTGAACGATTTTCTCGCTATAACGACACTCATTATAACGGAAATCTCTCTTTTGCGAAGGATTCGCCTGGTTTCTTGCCGATTCGTTATAGCGAGAGAGTGCTGTAATTCAGATTGCGCATTTCTATAAATTTACCACGTCAGTGTGCAGTTTTTTCAGCCGAGAGCAACCAAGTTTGTTAAAAGAGTCTTGTAGAAAACCCAAGAAGAGCGTTACGCGATTTCACATTTCAGTGTTAAACGATTAGTACTTACGTAACGAAAGCGTCAAGGGGAGAAAATGGGGTCGAAAAATTCAAAAACCGTGAAGTATTTTATGAACGGTCCCTTCCATCAAAAATTACTTGACGTACTTTTCTGGCTTTGCGTTTAAGTCTCCAAAGAAATACTGACAATATGTATGGTGTATCACATATGCATGCATACAATATGCCTTTTTTTAAATCGAAAACGCCGAAATTTTGCATTACTGTTTTATTAACAATCCTCCGTAACAAAAATTACTCGTCCAACTTTTCTAACTCTGCGTTCAAGTCTCCAGAGAAGTGCTTACAATCTGCAGCCTTTTATTTCTATCGTATAAATCGTCTTCCGCTCTGTTAAATCAACTCATCTAGGTTGAATATGCATGACACCATTTTTCAGCCCCCAAGTGGCTCCGACCGTAGCGCCATCGGCTTAAAGCACAATATTACCGATATGCCTGATATTACCGGTTGCCATTACGCTCCGTGCAAAGCACAGTTTAATTGCTAGTAAAGCATGTGTACCCATGTAAGATTGAGCATCCACCGTCAGCTCATCTTGTTCAATTCTTACCTCTAGGTTGTGTACAATAACAATGAAACAGTGGTTGATTTTGGCAATGAGCTGACCTTCAAGGATGTCAAAAATGCGCCAACCTTTGTTGACTGGTTTTTGCACGATGAGTACGAAGTTTACACATTAATGCTGCTAGGTAAGGGTGGATTCGTAAACAGTAGACTGAGTTCAGTGGAGAGGAACGAAATTTGTTAACTTACCTCGGAAATTCACTTCCTCCGACAAATAGGTAATTGAATTCACTGTTAAAAATCAATGATTTACTATGAGTAAATAGCCGGCATGAAAAAAAAAAAAAAAAATCCGGCGCAAATTTCGCGCCGTACTGAGTGAATAGAGCAGAGCGTAAATATCACCAACGACGGACGAATTAGGTGAGGTACCTCAAGCAGCGTGAATTCAGGGCCTCCTGGTGCGAGCGCCGAATGGCAAAGTAGTGCACTCGTCTATCACCGCCACGACTCGAATTCAATTCCATGCTGCGGCAGTTCCGATTTACGTTTGCCTGTCAGATTTTCACTCCCACCAGAGCGCAAAATTCGCGCCGAGCTTTTTTTACGCCGGATCCATGCACTCAGAGTAACAGGTGGTCAAAATAGCAACTGAGTAAGCGTAAATTTCGCGCCGGGATTTTTAAGAATGTTGATGTATTTTCTCTTTCTTGTGACGAAAATAGCATATCCTTTTATATTCAATGATATTGAAATAAATAAAATGAGTAAAACACAAATACCCTTTAAAATTACACAAAACTTAGGAGAAGGATATGTTCCACCCGCTTAAGCTGAGTCTTTTGTCTGAGGGAGTCTGCTTCCTTTAAGAACTAGAATTTTCAAAAAGTTCGATTGTTTCCCAAAGTGAGCGGGAAAAAGACGCCCATGTTTTCTTTTTCAAATAAGTGCATGTGCGATTGTTCGTGTTTCATCCGATTTCTAGGATTAATCAATTTTAATTTAATGCGGGTTATCCGGTCATGTTGACCCGCAGTTTGGTCGTTACAGTTTAAAAAACAAGTTGATAGAATTGAGGCGGTTAAAAATTTCACGAAAAAATACACAAAAATGGACATCATTATTACATGTTATACGTTGTGCGAAATGCCAGGAGTGAAACAATTTTTTTGAAGTTTAACCAAAAGAATCCGTTTTATATGACTAAAACGCAATAAACTGTAAGATGGACGCCATCAGAAAATTCTAAGTTATTCCTCAGAGTTTGTGCCTGATTTTCTTCTGTATCATCATAAAATACTTACGAACCATAACACAGCAGGAATTCTAGTGTAAGTAGATTGATGAGGAATATATTTCTATTTCTCCAAAAGGACCAGATTCTCCAACACGAGAGAATCCATCAAACCGCTGCTACAAACACTGGCTGGTGGCCAACATTCCCGAGGAAAGAATTTATGCTGCAGAAGAATTTGCCTCCTACACGATTTCCACTCGGGCCTATGAACCTGGTAGGTATTTAACTCAATCATATTACACCCAGCTCAATTGGAATTTCTCAAGGTTCGGCTTCAATTTTTTGGCGCGATGCATTCTAGGTAAATTCTGAAGCTGAGTATAGCGCAAATTCTAAGCATGAGGTGAATTATTTAGAAAAAATCTAAATTAATTGCAGCCTCTAGGTTAACCACGAAGAGATGTTTAGTCAAGAATACTGATTCCGTCCAATTATCGATATCGATACATCGTAATTGGTTTCAAATTAGAAGCAGTGTTTTAGACTTAATTTTAAGATTTTGTAAGATTATTCTCGGAACGAAGATTCATAATGAATAAGCTAGATTCTTAAAAAAGATTTTCCTAAAACAATCCATTTTGTAGTTGAAATTAGAAGTATATCGATCGTGTTCAGGATGCATTAAGCCGCTTGACCAGAAATCCGTGATAAAATTAATTCTTGGATGAAGAGACGGGTTATCGATTTCTCTGTCTTCTCTTATTTCGAAAGAAACATGCTGGA